CCGTTTTTGTCCAGTGCTTACCGATTTCTTGCCATTTCTAACCCGCTTTTGCCCTTTCCTGACTTGGTTTGAACCACTTTTATCCATTTCTAACCCCTTTTATCTCCTTTGTGCTATTTCTATACAATTTACAGTCATTTCTGTCTTATTTTTGCTCATTTCTCACCAGTTTTAAGCCGATTTTGGCTATTTCTGAACAATTCATGGCCATTTCTTGCCTGTTTGAATCTTCTCTTAGCTATTTCTAATCTGGCTTATGGTATTTCTAACCCTTTTTTGTCCAGTTCTAACACTTCATAAGCCATTTTGGCCATTTCCAAACGATTTTTATCCTGTTCTTACCTATTTCTTGCCATTTCTGACCTGTTTTTGCCCTTTCCTGACTTGGTTTAAACCATTTTTGGTGCTTTCTTACCCATTTCAAGTCTTTTTTTGGCTATTTCTAAACAATTGCTAGTCATTCCTATCTTACTTTTGTCCATTTCTGACCAGTTTTAAGATTACTTTGGCTGTTTCTAACCCATTTTTCCCATTGCTAACCCATTTTTAGTCTTTTTTTGGCTATTTCTAAACAATTGATGGCCTTTTCTATCTTATTTTTGTCCATTTCTTACCAGTTTTAAGCTATTTTGGCTATTTCTGAACTATTTATGGCCTTTTCTAGCCTGTTCTAAGCTTTTCTTAGCTATTTCTAAGCTAGTTTGGCCTATTTCTAACCCTTTTTTTGGCCCAGTTCTAACTCTTCTTAAGCCATTTTGCCTATTTCCAAACCGTTTTTGTCCTGTTCTTTCCAATTTCCTGCCATTTCTAACCTGGTTTTGCCCTTTCCTCACTTAGTTTGAAACATTTTTATCTATTTCTAACTCCTTTTAACTCCTTTTGCTTTTTTCTATACAGATCACGGTCATTTTTATCTTTTTTTTTGCCGATTTGTTACTAGTTTTATACCATTTTTGGCTATTTTTTTGACTCTTTATGGGCATTTCTAGCCTGTTTGAACCTTTTCTTAGCTTTTTCTGAACTGGTTTCAGCTATTTCTAGCCCTAATTGCCCAGTTCTAACTCTTTATAAGCCATTGTGGCCATTCCCAAACCATTTTTGTCCAGTTCTTTCCAATTTCTTGCTATTTCTAACCCTTTTTTTACCCTTTTCTTACTTGGCTTGAGCCATTTTTGCCCATTCCTAACCCATTGCTGGCCATTTGTAACCCATTTTAAGTCTTTTTTGGCTATTTCTAAAAAAATTATGGCTATTTCTATCCTACTTTTGCCCATTTCTCACCAGGTTTAAGCCTTTTTTGGCTCTGTCTTGTCCATTCTTGCCCCTTTCTTGAATTCGTATTTTAAGCATCGTTTACTATTTCTAAGCTATTGATTATTATTTTATCTTACTTTTGCCAATTCCTTACCTTTTGTAATCCTTTTTTGGCTATTTCTAATCCATTCTTTGCCATTTGTACCCCATTTATACCATGCCGAGCTGTGCTGTTCCGTGCCGAGCAGTGCAGTGAAAATTCTGGCCCTTCCCATGGCAGGGGGCTTGGAAGCTCATGATACTAAGGTCCTTTCGAACCCTAATTCTTATGTGATTCTATAGTTTTAATACAGGGCAGTGGGGGAATGGGGGATAATAGGGTGTAATGGGAGGTAACGGGGGTTAACCGGGGTGTAATGGGAGGCATGTGGCCGCAGCACGGCGTTCGCGCACCAGTTCTGGTCCCCCGCCGCTGCCCTCTTCTCCTTCATCCCTGACTGCAGCCATCGGTCCGTCACACCGACGAACACCGTTGATTGGCCGCCGGTCTCTAGGCAGGAAAGGGTCCCCTCTAGGCGCTCGCTGTTATCTAAGAGGCGGCCAGGGACTGGACGGCAACCCAGATTGCCTCCATGTCCCGCCTCTCTCCGTGAGGCGAGCGGCGCCGTGATTGGCTGGTAGGCAGGAAAGGGCGAGGGCGGTGGGGGGGGGGGGGGGGGGGGGGGGGGGTGGTGTTGTGGCGGTGGCAGCCGTTTTTTCGTCCGCGGTGACTGGGGTGAAGATAGCGGCGGTCTCGGCAGCGGCTGCTTCGGCAACAGGGGCGGCTGGAGCGGCGCGGGGTCGTCTCGGAAGGAGGCGGCAGGAGCGGCGGGGGAGGGCCGGTGGCAGCGCCGGAAAGGGCTCTTCGGCGGCAGCGGTGAGGTAGTAAAAGAGCGGCGGCCGCCGGAGGAGCGGCAAGGGCAGTGGGCAGTGCCAGCGGCGGTGGCCGGAGCGGCGGGGGGTGGTGGGGGAAGGAACTAGGGGACTTAGAGTTCATCAGTGCATTTAATTAAATTTGACTTACTTCATGTTTATATGCGACTGTACAAATTTGAGTTTTAGTGGAGGCTTTGACGCTTTTGTTCACTTCTGTTCACTTCTATTCATTTAATCATTTTTTTAATAGAATTGTATTCACTTAATACTGGCTTTCAGCCACTTTAAATTTTGTTCTGTATTTGTTCACTTTATATTCGCTTTTTAGTCACATTTTTCAGGTTTTGGTTTTTTGTTTTCCGGTTTTTAATCACTTCTGTTTGCATTTATACCCTTTTTATTGAGGCATGTTTACTTTTGCTTACTTTTACTCAATTTTTTGTACAGTTCTGTTTACTTTTAATGACTTCTTACTCAGCTTTGTTGGGAAAACCTGCTTTTGGTAACACCTCGTGAGGCAGAGTGAAGTGTAAAGGTTTATTTGAATAAAGGGAGATAGAATAGAATCATAGAATAGTTAGGGTTGGAAAGGACCTTCAGATCATCCAGTTCCAACCCCCCTGCCATGGGCAGGGACATGTCACACTAAACCTTATCACCCAAGGCCTAGTCCAACCTGGCCTTGAACACTGCCAAGGATGGAGCAGTCGCAGCCTCCCTGGGCAATCCATTCCAGTGCCTCACCACCCTAACAGGAAAGAATTTCCTCCTTATATCCAATCTAAGCTTCCCCTGTTTAAGTTTTAACCCATTACCCCGTGTGCTGTCACTACAGTCCCTAATGAATAATCCATCCCCAGCATCCCTATAGCTCCCCTTCAGATACTGGAAGGTTGCTGTGAGGTCCCACGTAGCCTTCTCTTCTCCAGGCTAAATCTCCATCAGACATGTCTGGTTCAGGGTTTTCCATTTGCATTCAGTGTTCACTTACTTGATACCTTCCCTTCCCTGCCCTGTTAACATTACTCGTTTCGTGTTCCTTTGAAACTCCTGAGAGACATCTTCTCATTCTTGGAATTTGTTCGTGTTAATTTTAAAAATTTATTCTTTGTTTCTAAGCCTTGACTGAGCCAAGCATACATGAAATGGACACTGTATGAGTAAAGCTTTACATAGATGACATTGCAACACCAGTCAAATGCAGGTCTTCACATCTTAAAAACAACTGGAGATAGAAGAATATTTAGACAAATTCAGCAAGAAGTTGTCAGTCTTCATATGGGTGTACTTGGCATTTTCTCTTCATTTAACCTTGGGACAGGGTCTTTCAAATGATTCCTTAAATTCACTTTCCAAGATAAGATAGGTTGTTTAATTTTGGCTGCCACTCAAAGATATAACCCAGATTAATATCTGCCTGAAAAAAATTACTTTGTGACTTCAGATCAGAAAAACTGGGTGATAGCTGATGATCAACCTGAAACCATCTGTCATAGTTCTCCACTAACATGCAGAACTACGATATCTCTGCATGGAAGTACTTTGGTAATTGAACACCGATCTTAGGAACCGAGCAACCATCTCATTTGGTAGTTGAATTTGCACAAAGATTATATAAATCCTGGTAATCTTATCTGCATTTCAGGTTAACAATGAAGCTTATGCCTGTTACACCTCAAGAATGAACAGAACTAAATAGAGAAACCTAAGCCAAAAGGCCAGTCTTGGAATGAGCATCCGTGTCTGACACACGTGGTTTCCAGATGTAACACTGTCTCCTATCTTTGTTTAGTACCTCTGACAGAATTGTTTCCTACATCAATCCTTCTTCGTCATGATCATGATTTTTTTCTTCAAACTTACAGTCTATCATTCAACATGTGGATAGTCAAAAAAAAGTTTCCAGGATTAGTGGACTTTGTAGACACAGAGAAATACATTTTCAAAAATGAGGACCACCGCCAGGGCCCCCAGGTTCAGCCCATCCACTGCCGAGCCATCATCTGCAGCCACCCGCATCGGGCCCCACGTTGCGCCTGGGGGGAAACATGGGCATCCCCCCCTGGAGCCCCCCAAGCCCCATAATCCCCCAAGGACTCAAAATCCTCCAGGGGAGTGTTTACACAGGATTGGGTTTAGGCGATTTATCCAGAATTGAATTGAAATTATGTGTACAGGGACTGAAAATACAAAGAAATAAGGGACACCCACTTGTTCACGAGATTCACGCTAGACCCCTTTGCTTCCTAAACCCCTGACAGAGCCTAGGTGCTGCTGGACCTAGTCCCAGTCTTGGGACTCTGGGCTCTGGTCCTGGCCCCTCCGCCCCGCCCACGAGACCAGCCCCATGCTGGGCTGCGCTCCCCCGGACTCTCGGTGCTCTCCCAGGCTCTAGGCACAGGGATACAGCAGACTGAAGGAGCAGCTCAGTGAGCTGGTTCCAGGGGAGCACCTCAATGTTGTCGGTGCCAGTCGAGCATTCCACGGCTGTCGGTTCTAGAAGAGCATCCTGCCGTTGTCAGTTCTAGGGAAGCATCCTGCTGTTGTTGCCAGGGCAGCATCCCATTGTCATCACTACCAGGGCAGCATCCCTCTGTTGTTGTTGCCAGGGCAGTATCCCTCTGTTGCTGGTACCAGGGGAGGATCCTTCTGTTGCTGGTACCAGGGCAGCATCCCTGTTGTCTGCACCAGGGCAGCATCCCCCTGTTGCTGGTACCAGGGCAGCATCCCTGTTGTCTGCACCAGGGCAGCATCCCCCTGTTGCTGGTACCAGGGCAGCATCCCTGTTGTCTGCACAAGGGCAGCATCCTGCTGCCCTCAGGACAGGGGCCATGGAGCCATCGGAGGCCCCTGGGCGAGAGCGCTGGGCCGGGTCTGAGGCGCGCAGGAGGCAGAAGCCACCCAACACGAGGGAGATCCCTTCCCCTCCTCTCCCGGCCAGGGCTGCCCGTGGGCACTGGGAGGGGGCCCGGCTGACGCCTCTCGCCCCACCCAGCCCTGCAGGCGCTGGTCTCGCTGCTGCCGTCCCGGTGCAGCCGGTTCCTCTGGAGCCAGCCGGACCAGCACCGCTGCAGCAAGTTCTTCCTGGGCTGCCAGCATCGGGATCCTCCTTGGCCTTGGTGAGTGCTCCCGGTGCCAGGTGTGGCGAGAAGCTGGGGGTACCAGGGGCTCAGGGTGCATCTGCTGCTGTTGCAGGGCTCTGCCAGGTCTTTGTCATCCCCATGAACATCACAGAGACGCATAAGGTGCAGCTCTCCTATGGGCTGGCAGGTGAGGAGGGGGCCAGGAGGAACTTTTTGGGCTGATGGGCGCCATTGGGAGCACTGGGGGGGTCTCGATGGGACCATGGCTACAGCTCCATCCTCCCACAGGAGTGACTGCCTTGGGCTGGGCCACGTCCCCCCACTTCCGCTGCGCCAGCCTGCTCGTGGTCCCCAAATTCTTCGGCAAGGAGGGTCGGGTCTACGTCCTTTCCCTTGTCCTCGCTGCCATCTACAACGGTAGGTTGCCCCCTGCATCCCTGTCCCACCCTTAGGGTCCCAAGGGTCCTGACCCCCACTTGCTGGCACCAGGGCCCGTGGCCAACATCTGGCACAACCTGGAGGAGGTGATGCGCTCGCTGGGCTGCGTGGCAGAGCTGCAGGTCAACCACAGCCGCATGCTGTGGCGCATGTCCACGGCGCCCCTGCGCAAGGTGATGGAGGACATGGCGGTGAGGCAGGGTGTTGGGGTGGGAAGGAGGGAGGGGGGCTGCACGGAGCAGGGTCAAGCCTCTGTGTGTGCCCACTGTGGCAGCTGAGCGGGCAGATGCTGAACTCTGAGGTGCAGAACATTTCACGTGCCTTTGTGGGGCTCAATGAGGAGGTGGCCAGCGACGCTGGGTACGACCTGCAGCAGCCCCAGCACGGCAAGACCCAGCTGGCACCCAGCACCCAGCAGCTCTATGAGACCAAGACCAAGATGCGCTGCAATGGTGAGGAGGGAAGGGAGCTGCACCCCCCGGCACCAGCCTCACCAGGCACCACACGTGGTGTCCGGGATGGTGGTGTTGGGGCTGCATCAGCTCAGGCTCCTGTCCATCAGATGTGGTCGAGCTGGGCATGCAGCGCTGCCGGGACTGGTTTGACACCAAGTACGATGCTTGCATGGAGCAGATATTCGTGCCCCTCGTCAACCACTTCCTCTGCCTGCCCATGAAGTTCAAGTTCCTCTGCCACATTGTGAAGGGTGGGTAGCGTGGGGGACCCCTGCCCTGGTCACCCTGAGTTGAGGCAATGCCAGCATCATCCTCACTGTGTCCCACAGTTATGAATAGCTGGTGCAGGGACAAGATCCCCGTGGAGGGCAACTTTGGGCAAACATACGACATGGTGAACAACTCGGTCAGCAACCTCAGCCAGGAGTTCAGCGCCAGCGTGGTCTTCCAGGTGGGTGCCATGTACCGTCTGTGTGGCACAAGGCTTGGACGGGACCCAGCCAGACCCACAGCCCCTGTGCTGCAGGAGGAGCACCGCGAGATGCTGTCGGTCACCACCAACGCATGACCCCCCTCAGCCATGGGCCCCCTCAGGCAAGATCTCTCCTCAGCCCGTGCCCGCCTGGGCCAGGACCTCTGCTCTTCCGCCTGGTTCTTTCCTTCTCCTTCATCCTCGTCTTCATCACGTGAGCCCTGGCATGGGAGGGCGTGCGGGGTTCGGGCACAGAGAGACAGGGTCTTCTTTTGGCAGCAGGTCTGGGGTGAGGGGAAAGGCATGAAGACAAAGGAGGAATGCTGGAGAGCCAGTCCCTGGACCCCCCCTTCTCTTGCCAGGGCTTTCTCCTACACCAAGCGGTATTGTCAGGACATCTCTTACGACAACCTCTACATCACCACCTACTTCCGTCAGATCGATGCACGCCGCAGGAAGGAGGTGAGGGGGTGCAGGTGGCCTTGCACCAGGGCCGGGGGCTGCAGGGGCTGTGCTGAGCTGCCCCTGCCCCTTTCCCAGGGCAAGCGGACGCTGCTGCCGCTGCTCCGTGCAGAGGCCTCGGCCTTCATCTTCCCGTGCCGGCCCATGGTGCAACCGCTGGAGATGCAGAACATGGTGAGGGGGCCGGGCGGGTGACACGACGGGAGGTGGGTCAGCTGGAGGAGGCTGCAGGACAGGCTGCAGCAGATGCTGCTCCCCACAGGTGCTGGAGCTGCTGGAGTGCATCCCTACCCTGCTCTTCCTCCTGCTGGCCTGCGCCATGGACCACGTGCTGGTCAGCATGCTCAGCACCATCCAGCAGCACTCCTTTGTGCAGTACTCCTTCCACAGTGAGTCCCCAAGCCCACAGCAATGCACAGAGGGGGGGGATGCTTGTGTGTGCCCCTTCACAGCTTCACATGCTCCCACAGGCAGCCATCACTTGTCCATCCACGTTACGGGCACGTCCCTGATGGCGCGGCTCCTGCGGAGTACCATCGGCGCCCTCAACACCTCCTCTGACACCCTGCTGGAGACGTCCAACTTGGGTGAGCCCCCCCCCAGGGGATGGACACCCCATGCCCATCACAGCTCCACAGCCTGAGCAGGGGCTCAGCGCCACCTCATGTCCCCAGTGTGCCTGCCGCAGCCGCGCCGCATGAGCCAGCACCAGTACCTGAGCAGCTGCCTGCCCCTGGCCGGGCTGGCGCTGCTCTGCCTGGCCCAGGTCTACACATACCGCCTGCGCCGTGTCATCGCCGCCTTCTACTTCCCCAAGGTGAATAGCAGCCCCTCGGGGGGGGGTGGGCAGATTTTGGGGTGAGCCCATAACCTGGACCATAACCTTGGGGTGGGCTCATGGTGTTGGCAGCGGGAGAAGAGCCGCGTGCTCTATCTCTACAACAAGCTGCTGCAGCAGCGCCTGGACTTCATCCAGCGGCAGTGGAAGCGCATTATCCAGCAGGCACAGCAGCCCCCAGGACTGGTGAGTGGGGCTTCACTGTTCCCCCCAACCCCAGGGTTCTGCTCTGCCATGGGGCCTGCAGCTCAGCCCCACACATCTTCATCCCTAGGGCACAGCAATACTGCACTGGTGCTGCCGCCGCTGGCCCTGCCTGAGCCACTGGATGCGCCGGAGCTGCATGGTGTGTGGGATGCATGTGGGGCCCCCAGAGCCCGCCTGCCCCGCACCTGCCTGTGCAGCCCCGTACTGCCGGCAGTGCTGGCGCAAGGCAGGACGTGTCTGCCTGGCCTGCGCCCCCCCGGAGCCCAGCCCTGATGCCGACAGCAGCGACGAGGGTGTGGGGTACACGGGCTGAAGGCATGAGGAAATAAAGTATGAGACCCCCCCGTGTGCAGCAAGTGGGGTCCAGGAGAGAGAGGGGGGAAAGGGGCTGGAAAGGGGACCTTAAAGCTCATCCAGTTCCAAGCCCCTCCATCCCCCTCCCTTAGCCCCTGTTTCCCCCTTTCTCACCTCACCACTCCCTCGCTCACCAGAGACAACAGGAGCAACATAAACTTGACCCTAAAGGGGAGGTCTCACCCCTAAAGGCAATGGAGGAGCATATGAGCTTGAAGGCATCACCTTCAAGCCACCCTGGTCCCTGCACAGAGGGAAGCTCAGCAGCAGTGTGGAGGGAGGGGGTTTATTTCAAAAGACGGTAAGACAATTGTTCCATTTAGTATCAAAACACTTGATAAGGTTCCTTGCTCCGGCTTGGCCCCTAAACCGGCTACAACCAGGCAGCATGCTCACACAAGAAGCGACACACTGTGAGCCTGACACGTCTCCACACTCACACCTCACAGCGACACGTCAGCAATGCACAGCAAGATGGCTTGTACCTTATTAAGACACTAAGAGCACTCCTGGCCAGGGGAGAAGGCCTCGATCCCTTCCCTTGGGGCAGGCAAAAAAAGCTTCCCCAAGCGAACAAGGCTGTTGTACTTAAGCTGTTGAGTGCAAGCCAGCACTGAGTGCTAAAGCTTGGTGGGTCAGCACTCAGTGAAGGCAAATTCAGCTCCTGTGTAGCAATGGGTTAGAGGGGCCATGGCTTCTTCAAGGGGAAAAGAAATGGCCAACAGTGAGGGGGAAGAGAAACAACCCCTGTGAAGGTTCAACTGGCCAGGGAACTGCCTGGTTTTAGAAGTCTCCTTCTACCCAGGTTGCTTCTCCGCAAGTTACCTTAAAGCTGAGAAACTGAACTGCTCTTTTGGCAAACAGGCTCCTGGAAAGGAATTTTTCCCAATGGGCTCACATCACTATCCCAGCTGCTCCCATCAGGTGGCCCACAGTCGGAACCATGAGCCGCCCCCAACTCCCTCCCCAGCCAAGGCAGGACGACCCAGAGCTGGTTAACAGAAGGTTAATACCCAATTGTAAAGCCAAGAGCTTTGAGTGCAGCTCAGCAGCCTCACTGGTTACTCGGAATGTTCACACTGGTTACTACAAAAAAGAAAAGGTACTTACAAAATGTGTACATCTCAAAACATGCTCCCAAACATTATTGCATTGCTCGTTTCCCTTAATAACGTTGTTTGAAGCTCTGCCCAACCTGATGATGGCCTTTAACCCCGAGGCAAGGGAGAAGAGCTGCGTTTGGTCAAGTTAGCAACAGGAAGCAAACTCTGGTCCCAAGGGTTAGAGGCCAGCAGCAGCTGGGCCAGCGCGGGCATGGCGTGGCAGAGGCAGTGGTGGGGATCCATTACATCTCGTTCAGGTCTAGCAGGGTCTGGTCCAGCATTCTTTGCGTGCAGAGATGCTCCTCTTTGGTGGATTTCAGCTTATCTGGCAGGAAGCAAGAGTCAAGAGTTACCAGTGAGCCTCAGCCCCAGGAGATGCCTCGGCCATGGCAAGCATGGGACAGCCCCTTCCCAGCACTGCCACAGCGGGGCCTCGACCCAGGGGGCTGCCTAGGTGTAGGAGAAGCTCTGGAGTTACCTGGCTCATTGGTAGCCCCCTCACACAGCCGGTGCTTCTATCTGCATGGACACCATGTGCTCTTAGCGCTCTGGGCTGTGCTTTGCATGCAGGTGCCTCCAACCGGAGTTGGCTTCACCCAGGGATTCAACACCTCCAGACAGCCAGCAATGCACCCAAGAGCCAAAACACCCACAGAATCCCCCCCTGCAGGTACAGCTGCTTGTGCCCCCCTTCCCCAGCACAGAGATGCTGAGCTGGTCACCAAGACCGTGACTACCTAGCAGCAGGGAGCACAGAACCATGCCTCTAGGAGAGCAGGGAGAGACTGCTTTCAGTGGAGGGCAGGCAGACAGCAAGGAGGAGGAAAGGGTACTGCAACTGTGACTGATACTACAGACAATTCTCACATGTTCCTTAAGCCAGGAGGAGAGCTCAGATCAGTAAGCAGCACTCTAGGTAGGCTTAACTCCAAAGGTGAGCCCACCCTGATCACTGAGGACATCCACTCGCTGGGACACGGCACAGACAGGCTGTGGAAGATGTCCTTTAGGTACAGGCAGATCCTCAAGGCCGCTCCCAACCTCCTCAAGGTCAGTGCACAGAGCAAGAGGCAGCCTTCCCAGAGCACCGACAACGGCAGCCTTGAGAGGTTCCCTGCAGGCACCCAAGATACAGCTTCATGCTGTGCATTAAGGGATGGCCAGGAGCTTTCCCAGCGCTGGGAACAACCATTTCCCCTCAACCTTCTAGTTTAGGACCCAGTGTTTTACAGAGCAGGAGTCAGTCATTTATGGCCCTTTCTAACCCTTTTGTGCCCATTTCTAAACCCATTTTAAGGGTTTGGGTTTTTTTTTTGGCTATTTGTAAACAATTCGTGGCCATTTCTATTTCATATTTGCCCTTTTCTTACTAGTTCTGAGCCTTTTTTGGCTATGTCTAACCCATTTCTGCCCATTGGTAACCCATTTTAGGTCTTTTTTGGCTATTTCTAAACAATTGATGGCCACTTCTTTCTTATTTTTGCCCATTTCTTACCCTTTTGAAGTCTTTTTTGGCTATTTCTGAACAATTTATGGCCATTTCTAGCCTGTTTTAAGCTTTCCTTAGCTATTTCTAAACTGGCTTGAGCTATTTCTATCCTTTTTTTGCCCAGTTCTAACTCTTTTTAAGCCATTTTGGCCATTCCCAAACCATTTTTTGTCCAGTGCTTACCGATTTCTTGCCATTTCTAACCCACTTTTGCCCTTTCCTGACTTGGTTTGAACCACTTTTATCCATTTCTAACCCCTTTTATCTCCTTTGTGCTATTTCTATACAATTTACAGTCATTTCTGTCTTATTTTTGCTCATTTCTCACCAGTTTTAAGCCGATTTTGGCTATTTCTTCTTGTACAAATTCATGGCCATTTCTTGCCTGTTTGAATCTTCTCTTAGCTATTTCTAATCTGGCTTATTATATTTATCTTTTTGTCCAGTTTTAACACTTCATAAGCCATTTTGGCCATTTCCAAACGATTTTTATCCTGTTCTTACCTATTTCTTGCCATTTCTGACCTGTTTTTGCCCTTTCCTGAACTTGGTTTAAACCATTTGTGTCTTTCTTACCCATTTCAAGTCTTTTTTGGCTATTTCTAAACAATTGCTAGTCATTCCATCTTACTTTTGTCCATTTCTGACCAGTTTTAAGATTACTTTGGCTGTTTCTAACCCATTTTTCCCATTGCTAACCCATTTTTAGTCTTTTTTGGCTATTTCTAAACAATTGATGGCCTTTTCTATCTTATTTTTGTCCATTTCTTACCAGTTTTAAGCTATTTTGGCTATTTCTGAACTATTTATGGCCTTTTCTAGCCTGTTCTAAGCTTTTCTTAGCTATTTCTAAGCTAGTTTGGCCTATTTCTAACCCTTTTTTGGCCCAGTTCTAACTCTTCTTAAGCCATTTTGCCTATTTCCAAACTGTTTTTGTCCTGTTCTTTCCAATTTCCTGCCATTTCTAACCTGGTTTTGCCCTTTCCTCACTTAGTTTGAAACATTTTTATCTATTTCTAACTCCTTTTAACTCCTTTTGCTTTTTCTATACAGATCACGGTCATTTTTATCTTTTTTTTGCCGATTTGTTACTAGTTTTATACCATTTTTGGCTATTTTTTGACTCTTTATGGGCATTTCTAGCCTGTTTGAACCTTTTCTTAGCTTTTTCTGAACTGGTTTCAGCTATTTCTAGCCCTAATTGCCCAGTTCTAACTCTTTATAAGCCATTGTGGCCATTCCCAAACCATTTTTGTCCAGTTCTTTCCAATTTCTTGCTATTTCTAACCCTTTTTTACCCTTTTCTGACTTGGTTTGAGCCATTTTTGCCCATTCCTAACCCATTGCTGGCCATTTGTAACCCATTTTAAGTCTTTTTTGGCTATTTCTAAAAAAATTATGGCTATTTCTATCCTACTTTTGCCCATTTCTCACCAGGTTTAAGCCTTTTTTGGCTCTTTCTTGTCCATTCTTGCCCCTTTGTACCGTATTTTAAGCATCGTTTACTATTTCTAAGCTATTGATGATCATTTTTATCTTACTTTTGCCAATTTCTTACCTTTTCTAAGCCTTTTTTGGTTATTTCTAATTCATTCTTTGCCATTTGTACCCCATTTATACCATGCCGAGCTGTGCTGTTCCGTGCCGAGCAGTGCAGTGAAAATTCTGGCCCTTCCCATGTCAGGGGGCTTGGAAGCTCATGATCCTAAGGTCCTTTCGAACCCTAACTCTTATGTGATTCTATAGTTTTAATACAGGGCTGTGGGGGCTATGGTGGGGGAATGGGGGCTAGTAGGGTGTAATGGGAGGTAACGGGGGTTAATCGGGGTGTAATGGGAGGCATGTGGCCGCAGCACGGTGTTCGCGCACCAGTTCTGGACCCTCCGCCGCTGCCCTCTTCTCCTTCATCCCTGACTGCAGCCATCGGTCCCTCGCACCGACGAACACCATTGATTGGCCGCCGGTCTCTAGGCAGGAAAGGGTCCCCTCAGGCGCTCGCTGTTATCTAAGAGGCGGCCAGGGACTGGACGACGCTGACATTCCGTCTCCATGTCCCGCCCTCTCCGTGAGGCGAGCGGCGCCGTGATTGGCTGGTAGGCAGGAAAGGGCGAGGGCGGTGGGGGGGGGGGGGGGGGGGGTGGTGTTGTGGCGGTGGCAGCCGTTTTTTCGTCCGCGGTGACTGGGGTGAAGATAGCGGCGGTCTCGGCAGCGGCTGCTTCGGCAACAGGGGCGGCTGGAGCGGCGCGGGGTCGTCTCGGAAGGAGGCGGCAGGAGCGGCGGGGGAGGGCCGGTGGCAGCGCCGGAAGGGGCTCTTGCGGCGGCAGCGGTGAGGTAGTAAAAGAGCGGCGGCCGCCGGAGCTGCGGTAGGAGGAGCG